ATCGTATTTTGCCATACATTGTGATAAGAAGTGGTTTTGTTTACTTAGTGGCAAGTTTGGTTAGCTAGCGTTCCTTTGGTTTAAATTTTTATACAACCTCAATAGGGTTTTTTTTTTTTTACACATATTATTAGAACTTTAATATTAAATTTGTTACTTAAACAATTTTTATTGCACTCAATTTGGAATATATATGTGTGTGTGTGTTATAAAATATGATTCTGTGATGTGCAATTTTAGTCATTGAATAGTTTTTTTTTTTTTGTCATAACTATGATTTTTTAACATTAGAATTGCAATTTCATAATGTCTAAACCATAAACTAGGTTATTAAAATATGCATAATTAATCTTCATAATCTTAAATAATCAGTAAATGATTCTAGCTTTTTTTTTCTTTTTTTGCTTGTGCTATTTTTCATGAATTCTCTATTTATGCACAAAATTCTATTTTCATTTTTCTGTTAGTTAAGCCATTTTTAAACAGATAAACTATAAGTTTGTGTGCATATGGCCAAATGTATTGTCCAAGATAGTGACGAATCATTTTTTTTTCTTCATAAAATTAACTTTAGTTTTTCTATTAATAAATGATACAATAATGCTGCCAACTCAAAATATTAAAAAAATACTCATTCAATTTCTATCCTACTCAAAATATTAAAAAAAAACTCATTTAGTAAATGATACAGTAATTCTTCCTAAAAATATAAAAAAAAACTTAATAAATGATAGAATAATTCTATCCTACTCAAAATATAAAAATAACTCATTTAATAAATGATAGAATAATTCTATCCTACTCAAAATATTTAAAAAAAAAAAGAAAAACTCATTTAGTAAATGATAGAATAATTCTATCCTACTCAAAATATTTTTAGAAAATTTTTTTTTTTCCTTTTGTCTTCATTATTATATTTGTGTAAAAGAAAAAAGCAATGATTTTATTTGCACAAAGTTATGTTGATAAGAATTTTTAACTTTATTTATTGTGCAATTGCTTCTGTAAATTAGCGTTTTTGGTAAAGGCTCGTAAATATTGAAAAGAATTACTCTGCTGCTCTTCGCAATTGTACAGTTTTTTTTCTTTTTTTTTGTGTAAATAAAAAGGGGAATACTTAAGTGTTAGTGTTGCAATTATTTTACATTATTGTAATTTTGTATTGTGATGTCGACAAACATTAAAAATAAGAATTGTGAATGTCGTAAAAACAGAGGTAGTATTGTCGGAAGTTTGGTATATTTTGCTAACTTTTATCTCTGTGCATTTTGTTTTATGAATAAAAAGTGATCTGATTTGTGTATTTTTAATTGGCAGCTGTATCCTGTAAAGAAAAAAAAATGTAGATTTTTTTCCCTTCCTGGAAAAAATTTTTTTTTCTTAATAAAATATACAGTCGGACTTCTATTTAACGAACTTCCATTTTGCGAACTTCTCTATTTTGCGATTTTTTTTTTTCGAGGAACCAAGAACATTTTGGAAATTTCGTAAAATAACTTCCAAATAGCGAAGTAAATTTTCTATTTAACGAATTTTTCTTTGTTATCCACTATCCCTATTCCCATAAATATTTCAGACTGTTTCAAACTTGTTAACCCATTTAATGGGGGAAATGAATTGATTTTCGTAGGCACTTCACTTTAGAGAAAGCAGTAAAATCCCTTTTTGTTTGCATTTCAAACGAAAAACTCAGACCAAACTAACGGTTAACGGATTCTATCGTAATGTATGTTTAAAATTACTTTTATACTAAACGCAGCAATTATTTTATACTTAAATTTAGCTTTTTTAAGTTGCAAATGTATGTAGCATTTACTGGATAAGGTTTTACTCTATTCTTGCTTTCCATGCAGATTTCTTTTACGGTTAAGATTTATTAAATTCTGAAATAAATAGTAGATACTAGTTTACAAGATAAAGGTGTGTCAATTGCTATTTTAATTATGTCTTGCGTTTATGAATTTAAAATGTGTTATGTGTTGATTAAGTGTTTCAAAAGGTGATTTTCTATTTAACGAATTTTTCATATAGCGAACTTATTATCGAGATTTAGCGGCTTCGTTAAATAGAGGTCGAACTGTACTTATTTCCAAATACAGCTTTATTCTGTAATGAGGGGGGAAAAAGAATCTATAACAGCTAGCAGTGCCAAGGGAGTCTGTGATTCACCCACTGTATTAATTAATCAGTGTCAAAGTTTATTGAAAAAGTTCCTGTGTGCTTCTTCTTAGAATTGGGTCTGACTACATGTCCCCCCTTTCTGTTTTTTTTTCCCTTTAATTATAACTATTATGTTTTTTTAATTTGTTTTATCAGCTACTTATGTGACAATTGTGCTTGCCTTGTTGAATTGTGATTGTGATTGTCTTTTGTATTTTAAAAAAAGCAATGTAGATATTGTTATGCATTGGCTGATGACTGTTAGAAATGTACATTACCATTTATTGGTTTATTAGGTTATAAATAAATGAAAAACTCTCAGTGTTTTGTCATTAAATTTTTATTTTTTTTTGGAAGACAAGAAAAAAAATATATTGCTACTTTTTAAAAGAAAGAAGAAAAGTTCCCTTTTTGAAATGTTAGTCTGTCACTAAAAGCAACAAATGTCAATTTAAAAAAAGACAAACGTAATAGTATAGTATGTCTGCGGTAAGAACTCCCCCTCCCAAAAGTCTGAGGTCGTCAGCTGCTATGGAAACAATGGCGTATTTCAGGGAGGGTAGCTTCTTTTCACTCTAGGGCAGTGTTTCCCCCAAGGGTACGGTTACTGTTTAGCGGGGGTACGCGTTCTTATGTGAAATAACTTGCAACAAACGAAAAAAATTTATTTGAAAACGAAGCTGGTCATGAAAATTTACGATTGTGTATTTTTCTATTGGCTATTTTTTGCTAAGTTAACAGTTAATAATGAGTGGTATCAACAGCCAGTAGTGATTTTTAACTTACTTTGTGCAATTTTTTTATAGTAAAAAATAAAATTTTTTATGAGTGGTACACAGTGTTACGAAAAATTTAGAAAGGGTACACAGATGTCATAAGTTTGGGAAACACTGCTAGGGCTAACACAATGGAGCAAAGAAAAACATCGTTTTTTAAAAAAATGCTTATTTTTGTTTTTTAAAGATGCTTTTTTCATTGGCTATTATTAAAAAGTGCTTAATTTTCCCTTTTTGAAAAAGTGAGATTTTCGCCACGTTTTATGCAAAAGCGTCCTTTTTCACATTGTCCTACTCAACGTTTTCCCAATTCATTCAACCACAATCCATTGCGTATGAAAGTGCCAATCATTTTACAGGCTTGATGAAATACGTGCGCGTGTCAGTTGGGTTCTGTGAGATTGTGCAGCTCTGCTGCATTTTGCAAGATATTCTCCATTTCAGTGCTTATTCTTTGTTGAAAGCTTTGGCTACGCACACTGAAGAAAGAAAAAAAAAGTTCCCCTCTCGAAATTTTATAGTCCGTCTCTTGAATCAACAAATGTCAATTAAAAAAGACAAGCGTAATACAGGGTGCGTAGCGTTTGTAAAAAGTACTTAAAGGTGCTTTTTTGGGGATTTCGTTTTTAAAAGCTTTTAAAGGTGCTTTTTTTTCGAATAATTTTTTTCCCTTCAGTGATATCTGGTGGATCCCATGCATTTCACGAAAAATGGGGAGTTTGTTGCTTAATCATTCACGCGTTCCCACGTTATGACTTGCGCATGCGCGCACACTTGAAACCGAAACCCGAGTGCTCCAATTTGGATAGAGAATATCAGATCCTTATGAAATGTTTTTTCTTTTTAATTTATTTAATTTTGTTCTTGTTTATTTTATTTTACTTCTAACACTTTTTTTGACGTAGGGGGTAAGGGTACTTTTGTTCTGAGTTGAGGGTCAAGTTGAATTCACTCGGCGATGTGGGAAAGTACTGATTTGTTTTCTTTTTGGGTTTTTTTAACGCTAAAACTGTTTATAAAAAGTTTTTGTTTTTCAATAATATCATTGAATATGAATTTGAGTGCTTGAAAATTTTTGTAAAGTACTTGAAAAGTTTTTAAAAAGTGCTTATTTTTGATTCAAAGATTTGGCTACGCACCCTGTAATAGTATAGTTTGTCTACTGTAAGAACTCCCGCCCCAGAGTCTGAGGCCGTCTGCTGCTATGGAAACAATGGCGTATTTCAGGGAGGGTAGTTGGCTTCTCTGCCGACCGGCCTGTGTAGGGGTTAGGGAACTGCCCTTGCATCAGAAAGGCTCTGGGTTCGAATCCCAGGCAAGGCATGGATGTTCTTTGTACTATCTGTCCTTACTGTGGGAGCAACGTTGGCCCACCTAATAGGGTGGTTCACGTCTCCCAATTTGTACTTTTATACTTGTCTGATATCATGCCCCCCACCCCTTTTTCTTTTCCAATTCCTACAATTAGTTCACACTCTCTCTATATCTTGTTCAAACATTCAATCGTTAATAAAATACTTTTTATTCATCCACTCAAATACTATTTTTGTTAAACTTGTAGTGGATTAACTTTCTAACATAATAAAACTGTTGTCGAGAGCACACGATGAAAAATAATACTCTTCGTGATTTCTCAAGAAGAGAGTGATCCCAATGAGCTTACTTACAAAGTATTGCATAAGAAATATATGCTTTAATGGTGTCCTTAAGAAATAGATTCGATAATACTAAAGCTGCCATGTATACATTCTTGAGAATAATATAAAAACGCAAGTGTCTTGAGTTCTGTTTCCTAAAAAGAAGATTGTTCTTTTTGATGTATCGTTACATTCAAAGGTCTATAGAGAAAAATAACAGGACAAATAACAATAATTTTTCTTTAAAAAAAATTATTTTCAAAGAAATATTGACGAATTAAAATTTTAAAACTGAACCAATTATTATGCGAATATGAATTTTTATTGAATTCCAGGAGAATTTAGTAGGGATTTCATCAAACAAAAATTTTTGTTTTGAAAATAATGTACTAACTATAAGTGTATATAAATTCAAACCTATATACCATTTCCTATTTGTTCATTGAATGATTTATTTAAGGTCAAATACATATAAAGTTCCTTTTTGATTAAACACCAATAGAAATAAATATTGAAACTAAAAAGAATATAACATTTTGAGTATGTTTTAATTTGAAGTATTAAGATTTGGTTGAATTTCGCTTGAAAATGCTCAGAAAAAACTCTTTAAAAACACTTGAATCGTCCAGTTCATCAATAATTCTGTGCATTTCAGTAGTTTCCTCTTTCTTATAATCTAAATGAAACAAAAAAATTATACCAAAAAAAATTCAAAGATTTTTAAACAAACGATAAAAAATCAGAAGACAAACTTCGATATTAAATGCAAATAAGTACATATTTAATGGGAGCTTTAAATTTGAAGTTTTGCCTGCGGTTTTATTCAATGACTCAAAACAATTTCTTCCAATATTTGATCCAAGAGTTCCTTTGTCTTCTGGATTGGGTTCAAAATTACATGACTACGGAGTTTAACATTGGTAGTATAAAACCAATGGAAAAAAAAATAACTAAGCTGAAAACTTTAAGATTCTATAAGTTTTGGTAATAACAAATAATTTAATTTTAAGCAAGCTATAGAACGGTTTTGTTATAAGCTTTTTCCGGGTTACAAATAAGCATGAATTTTTTCAAAAACTAATTTTTATTTTAACAAATAACGTAATTTTGGCGATTGTCGGAATTCTTCAGCAATCTTTTTTTTAATATCGTGTTGACGATGTCGATCGACATTGTACAATGTTTGTAAATGCTGTGAGATATCGATCGACATTCCCCAACGTTTTTTTACGATAGCGAACAATATTGTTTTGCGTTATAAAAGGGGTACGGTACATTTTTATGTAGGACAATGTTCAAAGATAAGTTTTTACGATATCGTTATTGAGATGTGTGCTACTTGGATCGTAAATCCAAAATTGGGTCGACTGTTCAATAACGTTTTTTAAAGGTGCGTCATCTTAGTCATAAGGTGTTAAGGTGCGTCATAAAGGTGTTAAGGTGCGTCATCTTGCATCCAAACGATGTCATTCAGCGCATAGTGTAGCAGCAATTATGGTATGACGTAAATTTACAGCATGGCTACATAGCGTCAGCCTGTTACAGAGCATATGTTACAAACCCCGATGGTAGCGCTTAATCAAAAAATTTCAGGACGTCAACTATTGTTCCTGAAATTGTGAGCCCCACTTTTTATAGGTTTTCTTCCTTGAATTATCTAATGAACGTTATTCTATGATTTTTTTTTCGATTTTGTCATGTACATTTGAAACCGTAACCGTTGTCTTTTTTGGAATCTGAAGCTTATATCTCTGAATATACTACATCTGAAATTTCCTCATCTCGATTGGTTGAACGACCGCTAGAGACCTATAAAACGGGCAAAGTTTTTTGCTTTATGACCACCCCTTTCTCACAACTGTATTTCAATTAGAACGGATTGATATGCAGCTGAAAGAATTTTTATAGTTTTTTTTTCCTGTCAGCAGCGACCCTTGACCACGGTCAGCACGATCATTGTAACTACTATTTTGAAAATTAGCGCGAAAAGAGAAATCGGTTTTCCCTAGCAGTATGCAGGTATGGTTTCTTAGGAAAGGTCAGCATTACAAAACGTTAGCTTGAAGCGAGCGCTAACCTCTTGGTTGGTCAATTTGTGCGTTAGACAGTATACGTCATCGAACACTCAGCTTGAACAACAACTGCAGTCCGAATCAACTGCAGTTGAATAGCAACGTAACATTAACGGCAAAATCAATAACGGACAACAGATTATTGAAATCTGCCAACATTTTGATTTCAAGGAGAAATTAATCTCCGAAACTTAAAAAATGACCTAATTTGTAGAATGTAAGATGTAAATCATACAAATATTTCGTGCTTAAAGCAATCTGTGGTTACAGATTAAAAGGTCATTTTTTCCCTCTTAAGCACAAGTCGACAATAACGCATATAAAGTTTTAGGAACTAGCTGCAGAATAAAAATAAATATTTGTTTAACGTCATTAAATGCCAGATAATGTCTGCGTCGGAACGACTGCTCACGCTGAGCTTACAAAACAGTATTTTGTTGGGGTGAGGGCACGTCAACTTCCAGCCGACGCTCAGAGAAGGCCCTGGTCTTAAGAAACCAGGCCGTTACATCCATTTTTCTTTATTATTTTTTAGAGTAGCAGTTTTATTAAAATTATGCAATACTTTATTTACCACAGTTATCTTCATCACTTCCATCTAAACAGTCCCTGTCATGATCGCAAAGAAAACGTTCAGTATAGCATTGATCTTCATCGCATCTGAACTCAAAATCTCGGCACTGATAAGTTAAGCAGTTTTCTTCATCATTTCCGTTCCTGCAATCCTGCAGTCTGTTACATCTATATTTTTGAGGAACACATTCTTTGTTGCCGCAATAATATCCTCTGCATTCGGATTGTGCTGATGGAAGAAAAAACACGCATAGTCAAAATTCATTATCCTTCCCAGATAGCAAAATAATTGTTTTTTTCACTTAACCAAAACCTTTTAATGTAAACCTAAAAAGGTTAGAAATACGGTTTACGTGTAAATCTTCTAACCTTGAAACGAGATATGTGACAATATGCTCTATTTCACGCACATTATCCCAATCCAAAACTTTGGAAAACAACCTTCTGTATAAAAACCTTAAATCGAGGTTGACTTAGGGTTTTCAAGAGCGAAATTTTTTTCTTTCTAATAAAGCTTGTCTGAAGGTGAAAATAATCTTAAATCTAGGTAATTATAAGGTTTCTTTTCTCAAAGTCTTGTATGCTCATCTAAACTCCACCTTGTCATGAAATTTTAATGGACAATTCAATTTGATTTTATAGCTAGTGTGGCGTCAACTAAAACGCCATTATGGACCTAAATGACAATACTGTTTAAAAAAGCTTTAAAAAATAATTTTTAATCCTTTTAGGATGAAAGGTTTGAAAGTGCAACATTTTTGGTCTATTAAAAAAAGGTTTAATATGCTTTCTGTGTTAGAGTTCACTATTTTATAAACTTAAAATGATTCTGCCAGCTGTATTTTTAAATGCTTAAACTTAACCGTTTTCAACATTTTAAAGAATTCATTTTTGGACTTTTTAAAGATTTTTGTTTTTGTTTTATGGAGATGGTGTAGCTAAGCTATACCATCTGGGATAAGAAATAACATGAACTTAAAAGAATCTGCTAAAATATTATTGCACGTGGAATCATGGTCCGGTTCATTTAATCGACATCGACAAGCCGTTTCATCGCCATCACTTCATCTACGGATAATTTCATTGACAAGATCATTTCGTTGACAAGGTAGTTACGTCATCTGCCTTTTATAATAATTTAATATATTTTTTAATACCTAAATTTTTTTCTAAACTTTGCCCTAAGCAAAATTTTGTTTTTGCTATTATCAGAAAACATTATTTTTTTTTCAATATGAAATTACTTACTCTTTTTGATATACTCCGTTACATTGCAGAAACTGAGCCTTTATTTAATCGGTGTTTTAGTGGTATTTTATTGAAATTTCTTTCTAAGACTGTTTGTTTATGTTTAGTTTTTAAAGATTATAGATTAGCACTGCAAAGCAATAATTATAATTACTGCAAAAGATTCTTGATATAGCAAGTAATGGAAGAAAGAAACGAATTTTTCATTTTTCGGTAATTTTTCCTTTCAATGAAATACTGAATCCAATATTACTTGATATTGAAATAATTTTCAAACTAAAAATTGCTTTTAATTTCGTTTTTTTTAAATGAATTGATAATTGGTGAGGGAGAATTTAACCGAAATCGGTTGATGTACAAAATTTGCTTTTTTTTAATGCCTAAATTGCAATTGCACAAGGATTGTCCTCAGATTGTTTCTAAGCATAATTGTTTCACCGTTGTCAACAACCTATTGTGGATCTAGTCTGATATTAACAATCATACGATATCTAGAATTCACAATCTATGACGTTAACAATCAAACGATAGTTAGAATCCACAATGTGTGACGTTAACAATCAAAGGATTTTTCGAATCCACAATGTGTGACGTTAACAATCAAAGGATTTTTCGAATGCACACTGTGTGACGTTAACAATCAAACGATATTTAGAATCCACAATGTGTGACGTTAACAATCAAACGATATTTAGAATCCACACAATGTGTGACGTTAACAATCAAACGATATTTGGAATCCACAATGTGTGACGTTAACAATCAAACGATATTTAGAGTCCACACAATGTGTAACGTCAATCAAACGATATTTAGAATTCACAATGTGTGACTTTAACAATCAAACTATAGATCGTGAGAATAAAAAAGTAATTAAATCATGCTAAAGTGACAAATTGATGACTATTTTGTGGGTGAGCTCTATTTTACGTTGTAAATATTTTTTTAACTTTTCAATGACACTTTGGCAAAACCATACAATTGAGTGTTTACCATATAATTGAATCTCCCGCATCAATGCGAATAATCATAAAATATAGCTTCGAATCATTTACATTCAAATTTCCGAAAGACCATTCAAAATGGAATGCGGTTTTATATTTGTTCTTTCTTTAGATGTAAATTTTGTGCTAATTTTGGTGCTCTTTGCAAAAGACTCAATTTTTAATTTGAAAAAAAAAAAAAAGATTCATAAAACACGTATTGAAAAACATGTATATGCCTTTCAGACAAAAAATCGAAATGAAAACGTTACGCATATATATTATTATGTTACACGCATATGTACATTTCATTATTTACTCAAAACAATGGGAAAATATTTCATGGTATTTGTTGCCTATGTGCTATTAATTAACTTTTTTTGTATTTGTGCATTTGTAACATATTTTCTAAGTAGAATATACTACATCNATGCAAAATATTTCTCTGCTATTGCATGTTGCTGGATTCCTTTGATCTTCATTCTATCCTTCAACAATTCTTTACAGCTGTGAAACGTTATTGGTATAAAGATGATTTTTCCTACTATCTAAACCAGTGTTTCCCAACCTTTCTTGTGCCCATGCCCCACCTAAGACATTCTAAAATTCTTCTGCCCCCCTATGTAACATATACATAATTTTTAATATTAAAACATTAAATTGTTCACTTAAGAAACTTAAATGATATGTTTTAGGAAGAAATCACCAGGAAATTGTTAACGAAACACAGTAAGTAAATTTTCAAAACATATAATGAAAAAACTAAAATTCAAATAGTTTTAATAAAGATTTTTCTATAATAATTTAGTATATTAATTTAGTGAGATCCTTGCTGCACAGAGATTTTATATTAGGTTCCAATTTGGTTAGCTTCAGTCTCAAGTATCCCCGTTGTGTAATATGCAGACGATTTCTATTTTTAGCAGTAAATCATTTACAGCACTAAATCCAAATTCAGCAAAATATGAGGATGAAAACGGTAGCAATATTTTTCTTGCACATTTGGTTGAATTTGGGTATTTGATTTCTCTTTCCTCACAAAGCCATGCCACCACTCCCTTTATATTAAATAAAGTTTTAGCTGACTCATCATTTTGCATTTCTACGAGTTCTTCTTGGTACTGCATATTTGATATATCAGACAAATCTACTAACTTTGGCTGCATCATCCATGTTGAAAAATCAATTTGTTTTAAATCAGAGAATCTTTCTTTTAAATCAGCCGATAGAATTTTCAGATGATCGACAATAACAAGTAAAGCGGTATTATTTACTTCACATTTTTGGAGCCAATGAAACTGTTCAAAGTTTTAGTTGTTAATATATATCTAACATAACTCAATAAGGGTAATGAAACCAAATATCTTCGCTTTTGCATCAACAAGAGTTTTATTTGTTCATTGAAGTTGCTTATTTAATATATTTAGTTTCTCAAAGATATCGGCTGAATAACTCACAAATGCTTTATCATCGACTATTAACAGATATTTCATTTTTGGTTTGTCGCTTAAAAAATCACTATGAATATCAAACAGTTCCATAAATCATTTCAAGCAGTTCCTTTTAGAGAGCCATCTTACTTCAGAGTGAAGTAAAAGTCTCACATGGTCTGCATTTTGTTCTTCACAAAATAGCATGAAGAGAAGCTCACATTTGGCATTAGCTTTAATATCATTGATGCACTCGATTACTGAATGTAGTAAACAGGCAAGATGTTTCTAGCTACCAAGTTTTCCCTATGAATAACACAATGCACGAGAATCATTTCTGGATTCTCATCTTTCATCAATTTTAAGCGGCCATTTTTCTCAGGAGCACCATCTGCAGCACGAGATGTTATGTATTTATTGGTATATTATTGACATCTATGTACATTTTTAGCTTATTATATATATCGTTGGAGGTAGTGGTGCTTTCTAATCTTTTACAAAACAACATTTCTTCAGCAAAATGCCCTTTATCAATATATCTTACGTAAGTCATCAATATTGCCACATTGTTTATCAAAGTTGATTCATCCATTTGCACTGAGAATTTTCTTGTTTTCATCTTTTCAACATGTTGTTTTTCAATATCTTCACTCATTTCGTCTATTTTTCTGCTAACAGTTACTGAGTGGCATAGCTTTTACGGCTTTGTCATCTTTTTCAAGAACTGTTTTAAGAGATGCTGATATTGACGGTTTTACTAAATTCTCTCCTGTAGTATGATTTTTTCCAGATTTAGCGATGAATAAAAAAATTTGATAACTAGGCTCAAGAATACAATTATGAGTTGAAGTGTGAGCAGTAAATAGAGACTTTACTGTTGTCCTCTTTTCAAAATTTTTCTTATAAGTTTGAAAGTCCACGCGGAGTCTGCTGCAGGGGGGTTAACTTGACGCCACCAAAAACCCATTTGATATTCTGGTCTCGTTAAAAGAATTTATAATATTTATTGGCTGCAATTATTTAAGAATTTGATTTTTTCTTTCAATTTTGGCACCGAAATCTAGCATTGCATTTAAATGGCCCGAAGCAAAAGGATTAAACTCGTGTCGAGTCCATTTTTGAATTGCCCCCCTTAGCAATCAAATTGCCCCCCAGTGGGGCGTGGGCCCCACGTTGGGAAACACTGCCATAGAAGTTATTTATTTATAAATGTTAGATAAAGGTGTGGGCATCTTTAACCTGCTTTTTCTAAGCCCATTTGAAAAATAGCGCAAAATGTCAATGTGAAGAAAAGCGAAAAAGCATTGACGGTCTAATATTTAAAAAGTTATTCAATTATTGATTGCATTGATTATCATAAAACTTGGCTGGGATTTGATGATTGGTGTAGAAGCTGATTTTAGCCATTTTTTCCATGAAGAAAAACAACTACCAATTTGGTGATTGTTTTTAATCAGGTTTTTTGAATGTTTTTAATTTAAATGTTTTATTATTAATTAATTAATTTAATGTTTAATAATTGCTCATTACTTAAGTGTTTAATAATTTAAACAGTTAAATAATAATTTAAATAATTGTCCGTTATAAAGACCAATTGTTACATTGGCTTAATTGTTGTTGTCACAAATTGTTAACACAGCTTAAAATTTAAATTGGCGTAATGATTTGAACTTGAGATGTCAACTCATAAATGCATGCTTAAGTGTGGTTTTTGAATATGGGCCAAAGATTTAAAACCTTACTAAACTACCGTATCTAACGGGAGCGAATTAGTTAAGTGTCACATTTTCAGATGGCAGCAAGCATTAACATTTGGCCAGATCAAAAATCCAAATTCATCGAAAATATGCTTTTATTTTTAGAAGAATTGCGTTAGTATTTTATCTTTTGTCTATTAGGTCATAAAACTTTCGCAATGATTAATTAGCATATTATAAATATGATAATAAACAATTTCTAATGATAGTTATACCAACATGAAATCTAATGGTTAGATCATTTACAGAGAATGACTAATGCTAGCATATATGACACCGTGATTTGATAACACGGTTCAGTAGTAATCACAACCCATTTAAATGCAAAAAGTACTTTTACTAATGAAGAGGAAACTTCATGGCAAATTCTCTCTCATCTGCGTAAGTACTTTAAAGTTTTAAAAAAAAAGAGCTTGTAGTAAACAATGGGGTTTCAAATTCTGAAGTACCTCAGTGAACTGATCGTAAAGACCAGGGTTGCAAAAAACCCACCTACCCAGTCAGGGCCGGATTAACCTATAGGCACGTGCCTAGGGCCTACGAAGAACTTGGGAGAAAAAAATTTGTTGACAAAAATAATGCCGTTTTATGATNTGAAAAAAAAAAATATGCAAGAAAATTTTAGCATATATTTTGAAAAGAGGGGAAGGAGGGGAGGGCCCCAAAACGGCTATGCCTAGGGCCTACGAAAGGTATTATCCGGCTCTGTGCCTAGGGCCTACGAAAGGTATAATCCGGCTCTGTACCCAGTGAAACCCACTTTGAAAATCTAGTAAAACTCACCCTAAAACGGGTTTTACTGGGCTTTTTTTTAAATTGATTTCTTTTTTATCTTTTGTCATATAAAAGAGCTATTCTATTAAAATATATATGTAGTCTAGCCTAAAAAAAATGAAACTACAGAGAAAAAACTGTGTTTGGAGACTGGAGAGTCATCATGCTAGCTAGATTTGACTCTAATGGCCATTGATTAGTCAGAGACTTTGATTCACTTTCTATGCAAAAAAAAATTCCTCAAATATTTTTTTTTAAGATTAAAATATAAATAAAAAGTAATCCTGCGTTAAAATAAGTCTCAAATGGGTGATGTATGTGATGACGTGTAACATTTTGTTTCGTGATGTCAGAAAGATTCAGACTTTTGCACCAATTTGTTTGTATTAATTATTGATTACACTTTAATATCCTATATGTTAAGTCAATTCATAAAATTGAACCTTATTATTAATATTAAAATAAACTTTTTTTTAAAATAAGGTACTTATACCTGCTCTCTCTTTTGAAAAAATAATAATAATAAAACATGAAAAGCCCAGAAAAACCCACCTGGGTTGGGGTTTTTCAAGAAAATCTCGTTTTTTTTTGCAACTCTGGTAAAGACACACGGTAGAACACCGCTCGCGCGCAGGATTGCGATGGAATGTCTTCTGATCATGCCTATGAATGTTTCTCAGACCGCCGCCAATAGCCCATTGTGCTGCTCTAGTGCGACGTAAATAAAGTATATACCTACCTATCTATCAAAAAGGCTGACTATCGAAGTACAAAGGCTGATCAGACTATCCAAATACATATAAACTATTGCAAGATTAAGCTGAAATCACTTCTTTCTGAACTTTAAAATACCAATCGGAGGTGAAACGGAATTAGCCATGAAAAATTTCTCCCGTGGTATCGGGTCCTCGTGAAAAAAGAATAAAAATAAAACTTACAGCAAATTTTTTCATCAGACTTATCGAAGCATTGAAAAATACCGTCACAAACTTGCTCTTTTGGGATGCAGAGTCCATGCCTGCACTGGAACTCCCCCTCTTCACAAGAATTAGGTGGGCAGTCATCTTCGTCTTCCCCTTCAGAGCAATCCTCCACACTGTCGCAGATCCAATTCCACGAAATGCATGTACCATTGTTGCATCTGAATTGTCCTGGTGAGCATTCTTCCGATGGATTGAAATCTGAAACAGAAAAAGACTTCGCATAGTGTAAACCCTGATAGAAAAATAACGTTTATTTTAACTCATCAGGAACCTTTTAATGCAATTTACAATTATCACTTATTTATTTTTCTTATAAAATATTTTTATTAAATTATTTAAAATTCCTTTAATTTAATTCAAAATATTTTTTTTCTGTTTTGAATTAACTTAAAACACTATGAATGATATATAATTCTATGAATTATTTTTTTTAATTTTTTTTAGAAAAAATGAAATAATTCTTTTAGTGGAATCCGTTAAAATGGTATTAGAGAATTGATTTGCAAAACTTGGAAACTATTTATTTTTAACTTGCTTCTAAACTAAATGTTTTAACAGTGTAAAAAAAAAAAATAATAATAATAGTAAAATGTTTTTAAGTTTCCTTAAAAATTTCTGTTTTTACACACTATGTTAATTATATTATATTTTCAAACACACAATTTTTTCCGAAACACTTCTCATAAATTCTTAAACTTTTAAAACAATAGTCTCCCTTGTTTCTTAAACAATTTTTAAAAAGGAAAAAAGTATACACATTTAAAAAAAAAGATTTAAAAAATATATGATTTTAAACTAAAGAACTGCACTTTTTAGAATCTCTTTCTGATAAAATATTTTTTTATCAAAAATAATTAATCAACATCGGTTATTTTGATATTTAGCCCCAAATACAATCTATGTTATATATATATATATATATATATATATATAATATTAATTAAAAAATAATAATAATAATGTAA